TTGTTTTTCTCGATTTTTTTGAAAACTGTTGGAAAATGTTTACTTTTGACCTCTATAATGCACCAAGGATCTTTACTTTTACATCGGAAAACACCCCCAAAGTTTGAAATTAAAGCATTATTTCGACTAGTTATGCTGTACCTATACAGACACAAAAAAAATACACATCATTGTAAAATCAATACATTCATCACTTCGTTCAGCATCTAAAAGTATGAATTTCTAACAAAATAATTTGAAAATTGTTGTGTTTTTACATATTTAATCAAATGTATATTATTTTCAGGTAGCTGAAGCTTTGGTGAGTTAAAACATTTAATACGCTTATTTATTTACTTATCAATTAACTTTACATTAATTGTTTGTTAAATAAAAAATAACTAAAATATGAATTTAATATTTGCAATTTCTTTAATATTCAGAAAGGTTTTATGTAGGTTTAATGATAACTGGTAAACTTATTGGTTTATAAATTAATTAAATAAATTTCACAATAGATATTTTATTTATAAATTTCATATAAATTAAACTGTTTATACATAATAGTTATATTTTTAAATATCATGTCGTTAATTATTATAAAATCTAAAATAATTTTTTTATCGTTTTAGATTCTGAGTAAAGTAAAGATTTATTAATTTTTCATTACTTTTTTTGCTGTAATAAATGTTATTTTCTGTTAATATATTTTTTCAGTTGAAGAAATTAATAAAATATCACATGAGGGAAGAAGAAAAATTTGAAAAAAAACCTTGATAGGATAATGGATATAGTTATTGAAGTGTTCTGGTCTTGATTGTTGAAATTGTTGAAAATTGTTAAAAATCGAAATTTTTTTTTTATTTATGTATGATAACATATTTATATAAAAACTTAAACGCTTTACATTACAATAGGTTTCACTTAAACTGCTCTTGCGACACTTCAAAAATAGGTTAAGGGGATTGGAAGCGGTTATTTTCTGTCTTTGTCTAACACACGTGAAACATACAATACGTCTGATAAAAATTAAAGTACTTCTAGTTGCTCGATTYAAAATATGTAAAGATTTTTGAATTGGTATAYAAATTTATTTTGCATCGGTCGAAGCATATTTTTAATATTTTAAATATATTTAATAAAAAAAATTTGACAAATTTATTAAATTTAAAATATTTATTCTTATCTAAATATTGCTACAATTGAAAAAGTGCTTCGACYGATGCAAAGTAAACATGTATATTAATTAACATATCTTTACATATTTTAAATCGAACAACTAGAAGTACCTTAATTTTTGTCAGGCGTATTGTATGCCCCACGTGTGTTAGACAAAGACAGAAAATCACCGCTTCCAATCCCCTTCAATAAGTTTTTTCTTAAAAAATATTATATTATATTTCAATATTTCAAAAGTCATTGAAATTCGTCAATATCATAGCAATTTACTAATTATTACGTAGTTCAAGCTTTATAAGATTTTAAATTGTTATACTTTAGGCTTGAAAATTTAATACAGAATTATTTTWAAAAAAATCCTTCAAATTTATGAACATTCGAAAAAAAATGTTGTCAAAAATTTGATTTCTTTCACATACCGTCTAATTCTACCTATACATATAGATTTCGGTTTACATGAATATATGTATAATACATCAATTAATCAACAACTCAAAAAAAAAAAAAATGTATTTAACAAAGTAATAAATAAATATAATTGAATATCATTGACCTTGTATGAGTTAATATACCTATGTGCATTATTAAGTGGCTTTAACTTAAACTTTTTTTTATAGCCTGATTATCATTTTTTACTACTTTAAAAAAAATTTAAGATATGCAATATAATAAATGTGTAAAATGTTAAAAAGAACTGGTTTTCAATAATTATCCCTTTAATATATATTATATGTTCCTATGCATGGGTAGTCCAAGCACTCCAAGCTTTAAATAACTATTAAACAATGATATGGTGATTTAATAAAAATTAATATTATTTTGTTTCTCGGTTTTTTTATCGATCCTCCATCTGTTTAAAGCCGAATATTTATTTGTTTTATCAAAAACAAATCATAATAACAACGAAATAAACGTCATGACAAATTTACCAATGATGCAATAACGTCGATGGTTTATCAGAAAACTATTTTCGTGGTGATGACCTCGACAATCGTGATTATAAATAATTTAGTGTATCATTTAGTTACACTGAATATGTATTTCGATTATTATCTCTAWTATACCTTTTTGTTTTAGAAGCCTACAGCTTATCATTTTTTTTTTTTTATATTAGTTTTGAATTCATTCAAAAATATTATAACCTTAAACATCTTTTGTAATACACGTTACCTAACAAGTAATCCTTTGTACATGATKATGAAACTGGTCGACGAAAATCCATATGTAATTCCGTCCAAATCCTTTTTTTAAATTTTAAGTTATTAGGTATAAAAATTGAACATTTTATAGTTTTTAAATTACAAAATAATTTTAAAATTTCAATAAACTTCGT